TAAATTCAACGGTGAATAAACAGCACACACTTTACTTGTTTCAAATAATATGTATATATTCGGAACAAGTTAAACGTATGTACAACAAAGTCTTCACACTGTAGAGATTACAGGCATATCATAAACACTATTTATATATAGTCCATTTAGGCCTATTCAAATACTTTAGAATTTCAGTTGACAAGTCAAACTATCTTCTCTATATTACTGTCATACTCGTATTCTGTGTGTGATTCACTTACAGTTGTGGCACAAGTTACCGTAATTTATTTGGTCTTCTTTTTTCTGAAGTTTCTCTGTTCCTTTTGTCAAATTTTACACAGGCTGATTCAATTATCTTAGAACCATGCTTTGACGGAATAAAATTATCCTTCTTATCTTAACATATTAAACATTAAGCCTTTTGCTATTATCTGTCTGACTACTGCTTCCCGCTTGTCTCATGCTATTTATATCTTTATTACATAGTCGTCTGGCCACTTTCTATATTCTCGACACCAATTAGTTATTAACAAAACCTTCTATAATCGTCTGCTTTTAACTCTTGTTATAACAAAACTTAAAAAATAATAAAATATTTACTCACAAATATAAATTATTCACTAATATTTAAACCAAACAGTCTTTTATATCATGAGAACTATGTATTTTATATTCTATACATAGGAACAACATTTTTTTTATGTGAAGACTGAAATGGCACTGTGATTATGTAACTTTTATAATTATTGACAACATATAGAATAATAAGTTAATAATTTTATTGTAGATATATTTGTTTACCAGCTGCATGCCCACCCTTACATTTATCATTTGATAATTCATGCTTTTAATAGTATCCATGCAAATAAGTTCATTACAAGTGCATTAAGACTAACGATGTTTCACTTTACCTGTTGCAACATGTAATGTATCACCAATTATATTATATATCTATAAATATATACAAGTGCCATTTTAAATTATTATATATATTTTTTGGCTTAATTAACATGCTGGGCTTTGGATCAGAAGGTTATAACTGTAACAGTTAATTTCTCTAGTTGATAAAGAGTAGCTGCTCAGGCAGTGGCTAACTGATTGACTTCCCTCTCATCAGTAATTAAATATTAAGAATTTCTATACCTGGACCTAAGAAGCCTCCAACCTGGCTGTTTAGCTCGTGTATGCATAAGGTGCTGTTCAAGTTGGAAATATTGGTACCTTTAGTTTAATGAACTATGACATTGTATAATAAAAATCACTTGGATGTTCTTTTTTTTCATTTCAGGTGACTTAATAAAAATTTTAGAAAAAATTGACATAAACTGGTGGAAAGGAGATCTCAATGGAAAAGTGGGACTTTTTCCATCAACCTATGTACAAGAATTGTAATGGAGCTTGTTATTGGGTGAGAAAATGATTATTGCTAACCACAGGTGATGATTTTATAGCCTAAAGCACGCATTAAAGAAATATTTGTGTATTGAATGAGTTTAAAAAAACAATGTAGAGGCTCTTGGTGAAGCGAAGAGGAAAAGGTCCAATACTATTTTAGCTACATAAGGCATGAAAATAAATTGTTAAATTTTTATTGTAATGATTTGGAAATATTCTAGGTTTAAATGCAACAACTTTGATATCCATTCCATTTTTCTCTTTCAAAATATACAGTATTAACTATATATATATGAGCTTGGTCAAAATAACAAACATTGTAACCAGCAGGTATACATATTATAACTGAATTTACTAAGTTTTTTTTCATAAAATTTGGCAAACTTTTAGTAAATGTTACAAGTTTGTGAACAAAATACTGAATTACATCATACGAGCAGCTTGCAGTGTTTTTTTATTAATTTTTTTTTCATTTAAGTCTTCCTATCCAACCCTAATTTTCATGCTGTAATTACTTTTATAAGAATAAATAAAAAATATACAGTAAAAAGAAGAAATGTGGCACTTAAATATGGTGGTGTACTTTACAGTAAAAAGAAGAAATGTAGCACTTAAATATGGTGGTGTACTTTACAGTAAAAAGAAGAAATGTAGCAGTTAAATATGGTGGTGTACTTTACAGTAAAAAGAAGAAATGTAGCAGTTAAATATGGTGGTGTACTTTACAGTAAAAAGAAGAAATGTAGCAGTTAAATATGGTGGTGTACTTTACAGTAAAAAGAAGAAATGTGGCACTTAAATATGGTGGTGTACTTTACAGTAAAAAGAAGAAATGTAGCACTTAAATATGGTGGTGTACTTTACAGTAAAAAGAAGAAATGTAGCACTTAAATATGGTGGTGTACTTTTTTGCTGCCAAAGTCTTGATAAAAGTGAACTTTTTGGTGGGGTTGTTGTTAGTACTTCACCTTAATCTTTGTTTATTTCAAATATGCAATTTAGAACACAAAATAATAACACACACAAAGAATAGTGTCCTATAACTATTATATTTTAACTGGCTTACTAATTATGGTATTAGTCGGTTAATGAAATGTCTTAACATTAGCAAAGAATGAAATTGTAGGCTAAATATTTCTTACTGTTTTGTCAAAATGATTTTGCCTTATAAGGAATTCTGTAAATTAAAATCTTCTCTTTCTACTGTTAGGTCTTTTAGTGGGAAAAGCTGTGTGTGTATGGTGATTCACACAAACTTGCATGTGCAAATTGCACAGGTGCTTGAAGTGATGCATTATGAAATAGCAAGAAAATATTTTAATATTATAAACATTTGCATTATATTAGTTTTCAGTTATAAACAAGAAGAAACTACACAACACTACTGTGTTCAAAAGTTTCATTTTAATTTCTACAAGATCTTTATGAGGATTGTCTCAGTTGATAACTTAAATCTCCTTACAATGATATTTTGTCTTTGGATTCCAGTATCATAACTTTTCTTAGCAGTTCTGCTTCTCATGATACATAACCCTCCTCCTCATCCTATGTTTTTGTATACAGTAATTTCAGACTTCCTGTAACTATATAACATTTTCAATTCGATTTTTTTGCCTTTGGCTACCATCTTCTCTGTTTGCTTCACAAGTAATCTCAACAAATTAAAGATTTATTACTATGTTTCTAAATGCATTTTCTTAGATTAAATGTTTCTGCTTTCTTTAGCAGTATTTAAAATTGTAATGTGATGTGTGATTGAAATGGCCTTTCACACATGTGACAAATATGTGTAATTATGTTTCTTTTCCTTCTTTAAAAGTTGATAGACTAGTTACGAGTAATCCTTTAAGCTTAACCATTTTTTTTATGTAGAAATATATATAGTAATTTGGAAAATAGTTTTTGAATTCATCCATTCCTGCTCATTTATTAGCAGTGAATTCCATGTTCACACTAAGACTGTATGTAAAACATGTCAATCATAACACTTACTTTTATGCTAGATTGAGGCTGATGTGTTTTTATTTAAGACATCCAATTCAGACTTGTAACTGATTTGTCACTTTCAAAAAAATTTTAGACTTTGTATTCTTATAATATAAACATCGGGAGAAAATTATACAGTCGTGAAATCTCTTTGCATTACTAGCCTTGAACAGATCAATGAATTTACAATAACTTATTGCAGGTTTTGAATAATTTTATCTGGCTACTTCTCTCAGTTTCATTCTTTTCTCTCCCTCTTTGTTAACACGTGTTATGCATCTCAATACTTTTGCCCACACCTATTTATTCTCTCAACTGAACCAAGACCAAACTATTGGCTTTAAGTGACTGTGACTATATGACTTTCTTAAATAAGGAGATTTTATTAGCCTCGCACATTAAGTTAATTGCATCTGCATTTTTTGTTAGTTGCAATATAAACTGAAAAAGTAAAAAATGAGTAGGTGTTTAAATTTTGAATTAATTATTGTAATTTGAGAAATATCTTCCATCACTTTTGATGAAGTGTAAATGAATCATTTCCTACTTAAAGGTACCTGTAGATAACATTCACTACCATGAATGTCTCTACAGGTACAGGGTTTTTCTGCTTTGCCATTTCACAAATTTCAATTGTTATAGGGGGAGCGAAGTAATAGTTTAAGAATGGCTTATGAAAATGTGCATGCTTGTGTAAAGTAAGTGGTTAACAGCATAATGGCCAACTCTAAGCATGCTTGCTCTTGATTTTTGTAGATCATTCTTACAGATCTACTGAACCAGCACCTTCACTATAGTTAATTGTCTCTGGATTAAACTGTTTACCAGTGATGAAATTTCAAGTGTTGCATAGACTTAACACAATAATTGGACAAAAGTCATTAGGTATTAAACCATTATTTTTCATGTTAAAGCATAGCTAAAGCAAAAACTATTTGAGATAAAAATTATAATATAAGTAGACAAGATATGGAATATTTGTATGTACACATATTCAAGTTCTTAGAGAAGATAAATTATGCAGCAAATGCATGTTTTTCCATATAACAAATTATTTTTATAAATACAAAATAAGTAATTTATTTTGTAAACTTTGGGCTTTTTTGATAATTTTTCCATAACATTGGAAGATATGATTTTTTAACATGTCTCTACCTTTTGGTAATTTTTATGTGTAGGTTGCTTATTTTTGTTCAAACTATAAAATGATATATTTTCATTTAATATTCAGACTTGTTAAAACACTACTTGAGTGTCTACGCTGAAGAAAATGTACTTTGCATATATAATGTTATTCTAGTGACTGCTAACCAAAATACATTGTAATTTTTGAGTAGTGTTACATTTTTAATGTGTTTTTTTCTCCACGTATGCTAGTAATGCATTACGGGTACTTAGACTGTCATGTTTTTGTAAGCTTTCATATAGTTGCACAGCTCCACAATGCTATATGTACCACACAAACAAATTGTCTGTAGTTGTTTTATCATCATAATCTATATACGTATGTTCTTGAATTTGTATTATTTTGTAGAGCTGATCAATTAACTCTGACCATTAGGTATCAGTTACATTGATTTAATAGTGTCACATAAGATAATTAATCAAAATTGTGACAAATCAATTAATTTCATGAAAATAATAAAGATTTTTTTTCTTCTGTAATCCAAGTAATTAATATAGTTTCTCATTAGTATTTTAGATTAATTCAAGGTTGTTCAGCTTAATTGATTAGTATAACAACTTGCATAAATAATCAACTAATCAAAAATTAGGGTTTCCATTTGTTCGAAGTCTCATTTGATAATAACTGATTAGTTGAATGTTAATGATTAGCAAATTCCACAAATTAACCCAACTCTTATTTAAAAATCATAATGATCTAATCTCTTTCTCTCTTTTTTTTTTTTTGACTACTTATTCATTATTAACTTTTATAATTGTATAATTAAAATAACACTATTTCAAAGCATTTCTTTGGATAAAAGAAAATAATTGATATTAAAATCAGGTGTCTTAATTTAGGTTGATTAATGCATAGCTGAGACAGTTAAGTTGGACCAAATTTAAAGCAGTGATATAATGCAAGGAATTGATTTATTTGAGGCATCACAGGAAATGTTCTTGAATACAGTTTGTATCATCAACTAACATTACAGTGATAATACTCTGGGACAAAAGTAACTTTTAGTTATTAAACTGATATAGACAGACTTAATAACATGTATAAGGACTGTTCAAGGTTACAACCCTTCAAAGGACTTCTATAAAACTGTTTAGTAGTAAAATAGTAGTATGTTATTTATAACTAATACATATTAAACAACTATTCAAATGGAGAAAGTACACATTTATTTATATATATTTACTTGAAGCTAAATATGTAAAACTACAGTAATTATCAAATCCGTGCTATTATTGTGTGTGATTAGTGTATTTCTATAAAATGGTTATTAATTTGTCATTCATTTTGCTTTTGTCCTTAATGGTACCAGACAAAAAAAAAACATGAGGAATGTAATATTTTTATAACTATCACAAATCAGTATCTTGTTTAGTTATAATAGGAACAAGATGGAATGGTTAGTGATTTTTTTAAAGTTTAATCTGCTTTGAAACTATTTTTAGTAATTTTTTTTGTACAAATTCTTCTTTTTTAGCAGTTATTAAAACAGTGTTAAATAGTAAAATATGTAGCTTTTGTATATGATTGTCAGTTGATACCTTCTTTGCTATGCTGAAAACAGCATACAAACTTTTACAATATTTTGGATAATTGCCCTTGTTTGTATTGTAAGGTGAAATGAAAATTAAGTGCCCTGGTTGACGCATTGTACATATGTTTAACTGAAGAAAAATTAAATTATGAAATGAATGTTATTTTTTATTGTATTTTTACTGAAAGACTTACTTTCCACAATTCATGTGGAAATTTATATCTTGAATAAATTACAACTGCTGTATGGAACATTCAAATTTGTATTCTCACTAATTTAATCATCATTGATCAGTCCACATTTCCCGGTCTTCTTGAATGTCTGCAAGTTTGAAGTTTTCCTTCGACGAAGAAGGACACTGGAATTGTTTTGACCTTATTTTTCATCATAGTAAAATAGTATTCTAAAGTAAATTTCTCAAATCAGCCATTTCTTTTTTTCTATAGTACAAGTAAGTGAATGTCTGAAGTAAGGGTTGTCCTAAAAGTTCCTGGCCCGACCTAAAAACAAAACTGGAATGTATGATTTTTTCTGATAAGTAAACAATGCATAAAATATTACTCAACAAGCTTATTTTGTGTGTTGTTGAATTTTGAAGAAGTGTTAAACATCACAGAGAAGATAGATCTTCATGCTGTGATCAAATATGTTGATAAAAAGAAAATGACACTGCAAGAAATCCACCAGGACATAGAAGCAATGTTAGGAAAGGGTGCTCTGGTAAATTCAACAGTGAACAAGTGGTGTGCTGAGTTTAAATGCAGTAGACAATCATATGAAAATGATCCAAGGTCAAGTCGGCCCTCAACATTGATCACAACAGAAATTGTAAATAAAGCTCGTGATTTGGTTATATATGATAGAAGAGTTAGCAGAGGAAGTGGAAATAGTAAAAGCAATTTGGACATGAGTAAGGTTAATTCCAGATTGGTTCCAAAAATGTTGTCACCTGAACAGAAACAAATCCGAGTTGTTGAAAGCAAACACCTACTGCAGAGATTCATAACTATGGATGAAATGTTCATTCACCACTTCAACCCAGAGACAAAAATGTAAAGTTTGGAATGGAAACACCCAAGTTCACACACAACCCTCTGTTTCACTAGTCAGTTATGTGGAAAGGGGTCAAACCACTACAGCAGATTATTATGCATCAATAAATCAAAGAGAAGAGGATTGCCCAACAAAGGTGTACTCTTCCATCAGAATACTGCCCCAGTTCACAAATCACGTGTTGCTTTGAATGCTATCCATGATGCTGGCTTCAGAGTATTCAATCACCTTCCTCTAACTTATCAGATTTAACTGCAAGTGATTTTTTTTCTCTTCCCTAACCTTAAAATCTTTCTGAAAGGTTGAAAGTCTCAGAGTGATGATGATCTTGTACATACTGTCCAATCATGGAATGAAGGGTATAAAGGCCTTTGACCACCGCTGGTGCAAGTGTGTAGACTCAGGAAAAGATTATGTTGAACCACTGTCTCTTTCTTTATAGACTGGATCATGAAGTTTTCAGTTATTTTTATATATATATAGCTCAGAGGCTATTACACATAGTAATTTTCTATATTAGTCTAGTTTAGAAATCAACTTACTTATAATTATTCATTTGCTAAGCCAATATATCATCTAACATGTTGGTTGCACATAATAATTTAAGTATAAATAAAATTAAACATTCAAAAGGTGCCAAGGAGCAGTCAGTATCCCAAAGTCGTATGCCACAATAAGAAATTTGACTTTTGAAACATAATTCTCTGTGACCCACCAGTGGGACACATGGCAGCCAATTTGTTAAAAAAAAACGAACAAGTATTGATACATGCCTATATTCTTCAAACTTAAAAATTATGAGATGGAAAAACAGCCAAAAACTTAGAGAAACATAAAATTCTTCTAATAACCTTCAATTTAATATAATACATATGCAAGGTTGAGTGGTGCTTAATCAGAATATTAAGAACTATTTTTTTACACTTATAAATTAAAGTGATAAAAAAATGTTTAAGCCAATCTAAGATAGTTTCATAAATATTCCATGTACGGATAAACTCCATAACTGATAAAAAAATTAAAAATCCTCTACACTTAAAATTGGGTTAAATACAAAAGCAGTGAGCTATATGTTTTAGGAAGTTTAATCCAGGAAACTACAATCTGAGAATTTCATAAATGTTTTTAAAAAATAACTTGAATAATTTCAAGCATATATCCAACACACACATATTAATATTTTCATGTTTAGTAAGCTAAATAACAATTTTTTCATTAATATATGAGAAAAAGATTAAATTGTCTACACTATTCTTCTAACACTTAGGAATTTTGTCATTTACACCTAAGTGAAAAAGTCTGTTAGTAGTACTAAATTAGGTTATTCATAATAAACCATGTTACTTTATACACTTTTTGAATATATCCAAACCATGCATTTAGACCAAGGCCTTGAATCTTTGTCTCATAACATAAACAAACTCTAAAAGGTTGTTGTTCCTGTTCAGATCTTCAACCAGTTCACTTAAGCCTGGGACTTGTGGATCACATCCAGGAACTAAAAATGTTAATGACATTCTATTGAAATTCAGTAACAAGATATTCACTTTATATTTCAACACAAATATGGACTTATGATATGATGAAAGTTTGGAAGTGGATGCATCAGTTGGGTAGAACAAAAAGTTCAAAGATTTAAAACATACTTTTAGTTTAATAAGTAGTCCCTTTCTGGACAGTTGCATACAGCAAATGACTAGGTTAAATGTCATTTACTTACACAATAAGTACAGAAATAAATGTACAAGTAGTTCTGAAATTTCTTAGATGATTTTAACTTGTTTATTAAAGATAATTCAAAAGTACTGCTACATTTAATTGTTAATAATAATAACTTCCAATCAGAGTAAGCTACATACTGAGAACAAAAGTCAAAATCAACTTGACCATCAGTTAGTTTACACCTCTTCTTATAAAGATTGGAATGCATTGTTTCATCAGTTGTTTACACTCATTGTAAACAATATTTTCAGCCATAATCTCAATATCTTGCAAGGTCTGGCCACCTTAATAGATTTAGGCTAGTCCTACATACATATTTTAAGTAATGACATTCATTATACTAACTTGTATAAATAATACTTAAGGAACATAAAAACATACCACCAGTTATCTCTAATGCTTTATTTCATAAAGGGAAATATTGTAATAGAAAAAACCTTTGCAAAGATAATAAATAAAGCCACAATTTCTCCTTCCATATACTTATAAATTTTGATGAAGAATAATGGAAATTCAAAACATGGATATTTAGTGTAAAAATCTCTTAATTCTAGAAATCAAGCACTAGATGGAAATTACTAAAGACATCTCCTACCTTCAAAGAGATTTCTTTCATTCACTTTTAGAGCAAAAGTAAACTTTCTTTCTGCATCATTTGGATCAATGGATGTGAATATAAATGTTAGCCAATCATCTGAAAAAAAATATTTTTTTCCATTTTTTTTTAAATAAAAGACCAAATATGGTTCTCATAGCTTAATGTTTTAAAATTGGATCAGTAAGTCTGTTTTTCTTGGCACATACCACATGTTATTATCAAGTATTAAAAATTTCTGAAAATGAAGAAATAAGCTGTGTATATACATAACTGAACTATTTAAATAAAACATATATATATACACCACTATTTCTTATTGTTGTTTTAAAGGCTATACTTTGATACACATATTCCATATAAATCTATGTCACTATAATAAGTCAGTAACGACACTAACAGGTACATCACTGTTTTTTCTATTTCCAAGTTTTAGTCTTTATGAGGGTAAAGCATTGCTATGCGATAACTTAATTGTGCATTATATTAGTTTATATTACTGAAACTTTCTGTATACAAGTAGTATATTATTGGGGTATTTTCAGAGAAAGTTCTAAAAAATGCCAAGCTGAAGAAATCTGTCACATTTTCAAAGAGGCATTATAGAAGGTGAACATCCAACTAGACTCTCAATAATACAAATATTTAAAATAATGAATATATCCTGAGGAACAATGCCAAAAATGATGTCAGTAGGGATATTAAACAAATAACACCACATGATAGACACTGATACAAATAATGAGACTTAAATAACTACAGCATCAAAAGTGTACACAGTACTTAATGTTAGCTTACCACAACCAATCTTTGATGAATTACTTTTAGAGATTCTTCACAAGATGTGTTACCATGGTATGGACTACCATGCAGAAACCTCTAACACCACCAAAAAATGCTAAAGCCCTATTAATATAGTGTCAAGAACATAAATATTTAGTTCAAAGATCATTGCAAGAAATTGGTTTGATTAGATGGATCATCATTTACACTTTCAACATCAAATACATGTGTTTATGCTAGGCCAAAAAAGCTTACAAATCTAAATATCTTATTCCTTCAGTTAATTATGGTGGAAGCCATGTGATGGTATGGGTAGTTTTTTGATGCAATAATTAAAGGCCTGTGGTCTAACTAAAAGGTAAAGTAACAGCAAATGATTATTTAAACCTTGTTATAGGCCAAGTTCACCCAATGATGAACACTTTATTCCCAAAGGGAAGTTATCTGTTTCAGTAAGATAATACACTAATTCATACTGCTGAGATTGTTAAAGAATGGGGAAGAGTTTGGATACTGAACTTGGCCACCACATTTAAATGCTATCAAGCCTGTATTGTCAATGCTTTAAACCAATTTTTCTAGATTTCCACCACCAACATCACTTTAATATGCTTTAGCCCACAAATAGTAAATAAAACATTGTCTGATGCACAATACCACGTATCATTAATGTGTACTGTTAATGCTGTGTTGTCTCCTCATGGAGAAACAACTCCATGTTAATCATAAAATGTAGAAATTAATAGATGTTTCCATTATTTTGTCCAACCTCGAAATACATACTGGACAATCTGTAGTTTAACATGCAATACTTTCAAGCATTTATTTCTCAAATAATTCAGAGGCCAAGGTTTAAATTTGTATTAAACTAGTTCACAAAACAGTTTCTAATGAGATTGTCATACTTTTGGATTCATTACTGATTTTTTATTTTGTCATGGTACTAGGTATTTCAGTTTCGAAATGTCAAAGAGTTCAGTAGCATGTAGACAGCTGAATACTGTACACACAATAAAATATCAGAAATTCATGGTACTTCGTTTTGTGTTGTGAACTTACTAGAAGAAAAATAAAAGGATGAAACTCCCACAATTATTTCCTTTAAGAATTTGAATTATTTCCTTTCTATCCTCAAAAATTCTCATCTCTGAACCTTACCACAAAGGTTCAGTGTTTTTGTTAGCATTTTTTTAAAGTAATAAATTCATATCTTAGTATTTTTTTTCTTTAATGAGTTAGACAACTAATGTCAATGACATGAAATTGCTTATTGGGATGACATTTTGATCATCTTATTGTAGCATTACTAATGCTTGTTTCTCAAAGCAATACTTTATCCAAGAAAATGTAAATATTTTGGCTTATATGTTTATGATGATGCAGTAGGAAAAAACAGCTACTTTAATAAGTAATTTTTCAAGCTCCCAGTGTTGATTGTCTAACTAAGCTAAAAATCATATATCTTATTAATCATAAAGGCTGGTTATAACTGAATTACGATTATTTTGCAATGCAAATTTTTTAACTTGTTAAATTTTTTTTACTTAGGAAGAGTTTAAAACTACATTTATTATATAATAAGATTCAGTGTCTGTATGTGTGTGTGTGTCATATAATTCCTTCTAAACCACTGGTTGCACTGACCTCTAAATGGTACGAAATGGATCACCTCAGTCCCAAGATTTTCACAAAGATAAAATTTTCACCCCACCCCTTGGGGAACCTGGGGATTTTCTGAAAACCCCTCTCCTAAACTGCTAGACTTACCAAAAACACTTTTACTGGGATTCCCCAAAAGCAGACCCAAAATTTGGCATTGATTTACAATATTGCACATAAGTAAGTAGGTCAACTAATTATTGTTTGCAACTTGGTTAAAGAAATTACACTTGCATTATAACAGCAATTATTATTAAACTGAAAAAGTGCAACATAGTAGTTCAATCATTAAATTTGCTTTATAGTGGCACTGTAAATGTGAGTCATAGGCCCATGGGTTCGCTAGTAATCTTATAAAGATTAACACTATTCACCAGAATTCAATGAAAAACCTATATATGATTAGAATCAAGCATTTATGATATTCTCATCTTTAAATCTATGATTGGTTTGGGCTATGTATTTCTAAGTACTAGCAACATCACATAATTGGAAAAACCAGACAAAAAATGTTGTTTATTAAAACTCCTGGTAGTTCTACATTTTAAAGATAGTAAATATGAAAAACTGAAAAGCAAGTAATCTTGTGTCTTGAAACATATTCAGCCGGATCAATTTAAATAGCACTAGGACCGAGGTATTATTTGCTTAAATTGCTACTATAAATTTGGTTATGTGTAATGTAGACTGAAACCTAGGAAAAGAAATGAATAATATCATCAATAATTAAACACTTATATAGTCAAACATTTCACTGAACTAGGACTTGAAAATTTATAAACACTTTGTTTAAAACAAAGCAGCTGCTGTTATAAAATCTTTTGTACTTGAAAACAGTAAGTGTAGTTTACTATCACTCTGCTCTTGTAGCAGAACCTTAACTATAAACAAACTGCTGAAAATTTTGATTTTCAATTTAGATATAACTGATTTTTCTTGATCAGGCCCATTTGTAATAAACTTATTGTTTACTATTGCTAGTTTTATTTTCAACACACACACACACACACACACACATACATACATACATATATATATACGTGTGTGTTTCTGTAAACACAATAAAAACTTAGAAAAAGAAGACCCCAATATGATAATTACAAAATAACAATTTATAAGTTTATGAAAATATTTAAAAAATATACCTCTCGATCTTTTTATTTTTAGTGCTAGCCTTTGCTGAAAGTAAGACGAAGCTTTTTGGCATTCTATAGCTTCTTCCTGGGATGATTTTTCCTTGGCTTCAATATCTAAAATGTAATTTAAACCTATATTAAAAACTTGGTGGATATTTTTATAAAAAAGGTTGGTTATACTTTTAAAAAAAAATTAGTTTAAACTTCAGAGCATATTTCAGCATAACATGCTTAAGTTGGCATAGCAAGATTTGTTAACAGTAATTATAAGAACTTTGAAGTGAAAATAATGAAGAATTGACAACAATATAACACCCACATCAAATGTGCTAGAGCTGATAAGGCCTTTGCTGACTACCAGAACTCTTCAGGTCAGCTGAGATGTGACAGAGATAGAAGATGTGGAGATTCTATTTGTATTTTAAAGTGGTTTGAACAACAACTGTGTTGCTATGAATTGAATTAGCTAAAGTTGATAAAGTGTAATTCTTATTAATTTTATTTAAGGCGCCACATATTGGAATCAGAGAAAGGAGTTTTAAGATGTGGAGTTTTAAGATGTAGAAGATGTGGAGATTCTATTTGTATTTTAAAGTGGTTTGAACAACAACTGTGTTGCTATGAATTGAATTAGCTAAAGTTGATAAAGTGTAATTCTTATTAATTTTATTTAAGGCGCCACATATTGGAATCAGAGAAAGGAGTTTTAAGACTACGCTATTTATTTTAGCACCAAATTGTTTATTACTATTATGTATTAAGTTTTACTTGTATTAACTTACTAATCACTAAGCAGTGATGAACCAACACTGTTTGTGAAACTACATCATAATTACACTGAAGTAAATTAGATTATTTTCTCCTGGCCCAAAATGGGTTTCCATCTAGGAGAGTGTATAATAGCATTTCAACAGTACTTGCTGCATGCCACTACTGATGTAGACTTTTGATTAATACCGGAGCTCATTGAGATGACTAGATTACAACATACAGTGTTACTTAACACACTATTTGTATCAGTCTTTTTATAAGATATCAAGTCTTACATTGTATAATTGCACAAGGGGGAAAAAAAGCTTGTAACTCATCTAATTAATCTGCAAAATCTGGTGCAGTTTACTCACTAAATTATATTTAAATGTCAATGGTACATGTAATTATTATCAAATGTAGTTCCTACTGGAATAACTTCCATATCAATACCCTCTCCTTGAAATAGTTTTTTCTATGACATTTCTAAAAAAGCATTATGTAGTATTTGGTAGATTAATGGGAGTTAAGATAGATAGGTATTACAAAAAAAAGGAAATTGATATTATTATAATATTGAAATAAAATTCATGCTTAGAAATTAAACAATAGACGAAAAACAACATACAAAAAATAAAAAAGCAATGGTAAATACAATTAAAAAAATCTATATCACAGATACATGTTGGAATACACAAAATATGTGGTCTGTGTTAACTTCATATCTAAAATGTTTTATCAAGAAACAAATTTGAAAGATAAAAAAAATAGATAAAAATGTTCTATCCATAACAACGAAAAAGAAACTAAAACAAAATAGGTAAAAAAGAAATCAAGTATTGAAAAAACAAGGTGGCAGCCAGGAAAAATTAATACATATTTTTGGAGTTGTGAAAAAAAAAATTATTATAAAGAAAATGCTTTATATATTTTAAATTTCAGAGAAAAATGCTTCAAACATAAAATAAAAGTAACTGCTTAGGATATGAATAGATACAACTTCTTGAAAAAAGCAAATTCTAGAGTAGAAGGTAAAAGTTAGAAAAATTGTTCTGGAAACATTGTCACTAAGAAATTAATTTTGGTTGCAAAAGTTCAGGTGTTGCATGATATTAAGGGTTTTCTCGTGTAGAATCTGGTGTGCGTTCTAATCGTAAGTTGGTCGGTTCAAACCTAGCCTTGCCTCTTTTATTTTTAGCTGTTAAGACAGGAATACAAAATATTTGTAACTTGGTTAATTTTATTTGATTAGTGATTAAAAACATTGTATATATAAAAACACACACAAATTACACATTAAGATTTCCCTCAACTTAATTTGTCATCCACTGTTCTGTTTATGCCTATGTTAATGATTAAATTCAACTAAAATGGGAAATGAGCAATCAAAAGAAGGAATATTATAGGAAAAAAAGTGGAATTGGACTTGTGTAACTCACGAAATTTGGAGAAATTGAGCGTGACCAACTGACTGACCAAACAACACTTGTCTTTTATAATTATGATGACTTTTATAATTTTTCATGATAATATGATTAAATGACAGTAAAAAGATTATATTTTAAAACAAAGAACTTAAATATATTGAAAAATTTCATTTAGATTAAACAATGGGCTAACTAGTTATATACACTAGTGCCTTGATTATCCAAAATTGTTTTTATTTCTCTGGACCAGCTCAGATAATCAAGGCACCAGTGTATATTTATTTACTTTCAGAACAACAACTATTTGATAGTACTGCCCGAACTAACTGCCTTTGGTCCCGTTTGAGTCTAACCACGCAGACTGATTGGTTGAATTGAGAGAAAGAAGAAAAACAAAATGGTGTGAAATTAGTAAAGTGTTGTGCAACCACAGCACTTCATTCCTGAAAAAACCTGAAGTGCTGAATCTGCCATTAAAATCCTAGAAACAAAGTTTAAATTAGGACTAAAAGAGCGTGATAATAGTTCCGGACTTCCAAGAGTACAGAACTGTTCTAGATTTGAGTTTTATTTAGCACAGCCCTATGCACGAATAAAATGGGAGAAAATACTAGGCATCATGATGACATTTTTAGTCACCATGACAAACTGGCCCCCAGGGATTTGTTGAGGCCTAATCTAAACTGACCTGTTTTTTTCTTTTCCAGACTTCTTTCAAGTGTTTGTAAAAGAGTTTTAAATTCCTTCTCTTCCAGATGAGCACATTCTGTCGCTTCTTGAATGCCACTTAACAGTTTGGTTAGCTCTTGAACCTTTCTTTCTTGACCTTCTATAGCTAGATAAATGAGCAACAAGAACAAATTTATTACACTGCTCTTTTTTACTAGAACTTGTTGCTTAGATGTAAGGTACTATTTTATTTACTTATCATGATGATGAACTCCAGGCACCTGAAAATTCCTGGAGCAAGACTTCTCTCTCCATTAACCCTTCTCTCACAGTCATGAACATAAAACAGTTTCCCTTCATTTCCTTTATTCTCCAGTCCCTTTTCTGTTACTGAATCATTTAACATCAAATCATATTTTTTAAACCATAGATGAAACAATAATTAACATTTTTGTAATTCAATAGTAATTACAAATTTCATTAGTTGATATTTTGCATTTGTACTTTCTGCCTGTGGCTTCTTTGAAGATTATTTTCCTGACACTTTTAACTCAATGGGCAGAATTCCTGTCCCATCAGTCATTCTTGACACAAACTTCATAAGTAGCTTATTATTATTTTCAGTTTTGAAAATTAGCATTCTGCACTCTCAACTATCACAAATATTGTTAAAAACATCAAGTAATGTGTCCACATACCTGGGAACTCAAAATACTCTCAACAGTTAGCAAGTGAGTTTGAGTGTGGATATTTGAGTGATATCTTTCTCAAGAGTGAACTGCAAAACCAGGATTATGGGAAAAGCCAGTAAGATATTTTTTTTATATCTATTTTTAACAAATGTTTCTGCCATTTTGCACAAGTTTTTGTTCAGATCAGTATATTGGATTACATAACATCAAAAAGTTGAAACAACTTCTTTGATGCTATAGGAATGACTGAGAAGTTGGCATTTGATTATATCACATAAAGATAAACAATAACTCATTTTTCCTCTTCTTATCAAATATGTTCGGAGGAAGTTTTCAATTTTGCAAAATCAATTTGTCCCTATAAGTATACAACACTGTTAGAAAAATATATTAATGTTCCTAAAAATTGTTCTAATGACAGGTGATATATTATTTTAATAAACAGGTGTTTACTAAATATCTTTTAAAACTTTTTCTTTATTATACACCAGTTAGCCTGGAGATGGCTCCAAGAGAAAAGATGAAAGCTTGCTCAATAAATATTGGAATACAAGATAGAAAAAAAAAAACCCACTTCAGTTATTATTTTTATCAGTGCTAAATCTCATTTTCCAATTTTATATAAAACTTGAATAATCATTGGTAGGTCCTACAGAATCCCCATACAACTGAGTTATTATCATTATTTTTATCATTGGCAATTTTTATTTTCCCATTTTATTATCCCTTTTTCAACTGTAAGTAAAGCTTATATAATTATTGATAGGTCCTACAAGCCCCCATACAATACGAGTTATCATCATTTTTATAATTTTCAAATATTATTTTCCCATTTTATAAAACACTTATATAATTATTGGTGTGTCCTAAAGGTTCCTACACACCTTGGTCACAGGGCAATCGTCCCACCTATCTATACTTCACTGATGAAATTTCCTGTACAAATAGTTATAGAAGTGGCATAAATTCATTATATAATTGTACCTTTTTTCTGTTCTGTTATATCTTCCTTTATTGTCTGTAGTTGTTTCTCTGTTGCTTGTTTCTCTTCTGAAAGAGTAATCAAAAATACAAGTATTGTTACACATAATAAATTCTCTTTGACATCTACATTAAAATTTTCCTCAGATGAATGATCAACTCCCACAACCTATTAATTACTAATATCTAAAAGATTTCAGAAATGACACATCTGAAAAACTTTGTATTCTCTACTTAAAAGCAAACTAACTTTAAAATTTTTTAAAGTGTCTGAACTAGTTTACAAGAATCATAATATGCAAGTTGCCAATTATATTCATATATATTTTCAATATAACTTTAAGAAACTGTTATTCATACCTTCTTTTTACAAATGCTAAGAAAAAATCAGTGCCACAGAAAACTGAGTAAAAAAGTAAAGATCAAGGCATTATAACCCACTGAATTCATTGACAAAAATACAGGATGATGATAAAGAGCATCTCATTTTTAAAATTATTATTTTTAAAAAACTAATGTTCCTAGGGGAATAATATTTCATTACAAATACACTGAGAATCATAATTATTAATTAGGAAAGTCTGAATGTGCTACATTGTGTTCCAAAGCAAAATTATACTGGTTTTATAAATTGTTTTTGATTGCTTTTATTTCTCTTCTTTCTCTCTTTTTCAACCTATGAGATTAATGATAAGTCATTGTGAAGAGTATCCAGTATGTAGCTAAGATATAAAATCAAAATAATAGATTATTTAAAAACAATCTGAATGAAAAATAAGATTTTTGAATAGGGTAAATGATAAACACATGTATATGTTTTGAAAACTCAATGTCTAAAATTACTGCTAACATATGAGAAATGATATATGTAGTAATAGAAAATTAATTTATTATTTGTCTGTTCCATAACACATTACTGGTAAAACTGTAAAAGGTAAATAATTTTCAGTCTTGTTTTTAAAGTACATGTACAGAGTATTTGATTTTTTAACAGCATTAACACAAATAGCTGATGAAATTATGATACATAAATTGAATTAAGATTTTATACTAGGCCTTAAAAAATTCAGTAAATTAATTTCAAAAATTTACTTACTATCCCAGTGCTTTTCACTATTTGTAAAGCACTGTAAACACATCAGTGCATTTTTCTGACATTTGTCAAGTTCTTCACTTATGCACTTCTCTGTTGAGATTAAATGGAAATTAAAGTTTTCTATCAAGTTTTCACACAAACTCATTATTATAAAATCCACTGGGTATATACTTGTTCTCTGTGAAGAAAACAACAACAAAAAATCAACATGCATATCATCACTAAGGACTAGATTAATACTCTAAAAAGACAATATTTAAAACAGCTAATTTTTAGACAGTATACAAGAAAATAAATGTATAAAATTAAATAATAACAATAAAAAATATATAAATATAATACTATAAATCAATTTGGAACTTCATTAAAATTCTCATTTCATTTGCTTTTCTTATTAAAACTTTCTTTTAAAAATTAATAGCAGATACCTATGCTTTGAGAGTAAGAAAATGTTAAGACTACAATAAAAAAATCATATTTAAACTAGTCAACTACAATCGGCAATGAAAATGGGCCAGATTATGAAAAAACTGTTTCTGGAAGTCAAATTATTTTACCAGGCAAATTGCCCTGGAACCTATGAAGATTGAAAAGTAGGCTTGGTTCAGTAAGCTGCCATAACAAATTATGTAAAACAAAAAACACCACATACAAAAACATTCATTTCATAATACCTAATTCTCAACATACATTTCTATGCTTGTATATAGGTAATTTAGTTTACTAGATGTAATGGCAGATATAGCTGGATTTCATGAGATGAACAGGCTTGGATGCATTCCACTTGCTCAGTGTGGAAGAACACATTTTAGCCTTTTTTGTGAAATTAGTGTATTCTATTTGTGTTATAGCATCATGATTCCAAGTCAATATTTATATTGGTTACATCAATGTGAAAATATGCTTTATACTCACAAAATAATAATCCTTACCATGTCCATTCAGATTTCACTTACAGTTACATCTGTATTGAACAATGTTGTTTCTTGTATATGTCAGTAATGGAAGTACAATCTAATATATAAAGCTATGTTTGTGTCTGTTTGTTTGCAACTTTTAGCCCCGAAAATAGTAGGCCTATAAAAATATAAAACCAGAATATTCAGGTCTTCGATGTCACATTTTTAGTGTCAATGAAAACTTTGTAATCTAATTATTTCCACAGAAGACAGGCAGGATTTTTGGTCCAATTTAAGAGGAAATGACGACAGAAAAATGTATATGTATCTTATAAAGAGGTGTGCTGTCACTGCAGTGTCAGAATAAAAAATCCATCAAATTCTGTTGTGTTTATTGACAAACAAGACTAACTTTTTTATAGAATACACAAGTTGAACCCGTGAGATCCTGTGAAAATAAATTGAATTTTATTCACTATTTTGGGAAGGGAGGTAGGTATGATAAACATTTCTGATGCTGATTATGTACCTCGGAGTAAAATGTCAAGAAAAAGAAAACCTTTTTGATCATAAGTAGCAAAACATATGCAACAAAAGCGACAGAGTGAGACTCCATAAGAATGGGAAACACACCTTGACAGCCAATGAAAATAACAAACTTCTCATCATCAAGCCAAGACTGAGCAAGAGCATCAGTTTCACAGAAACAGTGACCGCATCTGCCATGCAGAGCACCATTCACAAAAAACATCAAGAACATTGGCGAGGAAATAGAGAAATATATTTTAATTGGGGTTTGAACAGGGAAAAAGCTGCCTTCAACTAGGATCACAGAAGAGATTATGTCTTTAACCCAACAATATGAATTGGAGCCATGGAATCTGAATGTAAACACTGTAGTGCTAAGAAAAAGAAAGGAGAAACACCTGGAATGTGCTGTTCTGCCAGCATAGTAAAACTTGAACCATTGCATGAAAGCAAAATTTAATCCCTTCTGTTTAAAAATAGCTAAACACTGATCCTCTGTTCAGATAATACCCGGGCAACGCCGGGTAAGGACAACTAATATTAGAATATGGAGAATTTGCAGTACGTGTAGAGTGGCACCACATTGGAATAGTTTGGAACTAATTGCTCATTGAACAAACCACACTGTTAGACTGAACAAGAAAAACACATTCTACGCCTGAGAAGTGGAATGGTTTCATCAAATTCAATTGTCTATTGAGAATTACATTAGACACACTGGCACTATGGCTAGCTTAAAATACTTATACAATAGGTTTTCCCGCTGAATTAACACTGCCAGTAGACTAGTTACATTCAATATTCTGTAATGAACAGAGCAAAACTTAGTATTTGAAATTGCATTTTAGAAAAAATGGTTATAAAAATGTTTAAAATTTGGCTACATATGGCCAAATATTTAACTAAAAGTCTACAAGTCATATTCTGCTATTGTTATTAATAGTGTTATGATACATTGAAAGAGGAATTATGTAACGGGTATTTTACATCCTCATTAAACTAACACAATCTCATTTTTTTGGGCTTTAAATTTCACGCCTATTGTCACTAGAAATGAACGAGATAAATGAAGCATTGAATGTGAAAGTAGAAACTGGCCATGACTTTTACACTACTACTAGTATTATGATCAGATGTTAATTAATATTAAATTAATTGCACTATTAGTATTGTTAATGCACGTATAATACAATATTACTAGTACTAGTAGTACCAACGTTACTACAAGTTTTGCTAAAAGATTGTCCTTAAATTATATGTATACGTGAATTAACAATTCGGTTGAAGTTCGTGATTTTAATATTAAAACAACTAAAACTTAAACTCACAGCAACACTACTACTAGTAGTAGTACTATTAGCATTAGTAAAAAAATAACAGTAATAGTAACAAACCAGCAAATCACTGATTTGCTTTAGTAAAGTTATAACTTATTACTATACCCTACCTAATATTAACATTAATTTCTAATTAGCCTAAAAAGTGAATATGTATTAAGTTAGTAAACATTTCATACCTAAACGTTTGAATAACTTTTATTTGTAATCTTTGTATGATGGTGAGTAGAATGTGTTAGACATAAAAATTCAACTGGTTTGAGCAAGCTTAAGCCTATTGCTACCTCGAAAACACCGCGTACAAATCTTACCCATAAGATATAACCAATGAAATTATCTGTTTTACCTACTCTGGCTACCAGTGATTTTAAAAACATTCGTAGTGGTATTAGAAAGCAGTCAAGTAATTTCCGAATAATAATAAAAGAAAATACCTCATACGAAAACAAAGCAAAAAAGAAGAAAAATATCCTATCTTGAAAACAAAGAATAACTTACAACATACTTTAAATAATATGAACAACTTAGAGAATATGATTTAGCCAATATACAGGCCGAGTTTAATCCAAGCAAATGAAGGAATAATAATAAAAAGCCTTTGTCACCAATAGGCGACCTATGGGCTAAGATGTACTTTGAAATTCTGATTTATGGCTCACAATCACACCTTTATTATAAGATGTTTAAGGGCAGTTTTAGCTCAGGGATTTCGGTCGTATTCAATAATGAAATACAGAATGAACTAGATATTGATTAAGTTGAATTTGCTTTCGTAAATATAATTTTTCTCAGTTATTAAACAACATTGATTACTAATATCACCAATACTCCCTCTTCCCGGACTCCTGGCTTTCTAGTTATTATAATTAACAGACTCTCGGTAAGAATTTTTATGGATCAATACTATAGTGAAAATAGCTCCTGTGAACACAAGCAGTGTGTTTATTTGTTAAATTTCGACCAAAGTTACACAAGGACGATCTGCACAAGCCATCCCCAATTTTGAAATGATAGATTAGAAGAATTATTGGGCTACATCACTCAGACCGAATGATGAGATTTGACCGTCATTCTAATAATGCAATCACAGCCTCAAAGTGCGCAGCGTGGTTTTTATATTTTTAGTAGCAGTGGGATATCAACCACAGCAGCTCAGATCCAAAGTCCGGCACTCTAAACATTGGGTTGCGATTGGCTCGAAGACGAGCAGAGCAACATAACCAGTGTCAAGAAGTAGGAACATTACTATATTTTTGAAAACACTGTTGTAAAGCAGGGTAAAGGAGTTAAGGAAGGAGCACGTAAAAATGTTTAATGGGTTAGGATGAAGGCAAAAAGGAGTAATGATTAAAAATAAAATTACACATTATAAACGATTGGAAGTTTATCCTTTTCTTAATCTTTAATTGTTTCTTTTAAAATAATTTGGTTGATCGCGACCGATATTTTGTTCCAGAACTGAATCAGTTTTAAATAAATTATAAGAATGTATTATTTTATAACAAATATTCAACTCTTTAGCATTTTAAATGGTTACTTTTTAAAATTATCTATCAATATTTTTGTCTCTTTTGTGTGTTTAAATAGCAAAGTCTTAATCGATTGTATGGCGCGTATTTCTACAGCGTGCGTTTGACATTATTCGTAGTAATGCTTATTTGAAAAAAAAATGTATTGTTAAAAATATAACTTGCCATTTATATTAACCAAATATTCGTATCGAAAATAATGATTGAAATAACAAAAGTTATATATAAATAAATATACAATTATAAGTGTCATCCTTTGTTCCTATTCATCTATGATCATAATTATTGGATAAGAAGAGCTTCTGTTAGCGTATTTTGTGGCTTTGGTAAGGATTTGTACAGAGTAGGATGGATTCATTCTTGGGCATGATGAGTTAAAAATGATTTACAACTGCGCTTCTCTTATGTTCTACTTTGTAAAGAGAGTCAAGCTGTTTCCTATCCTTGTGTGTAGGGTTATTCGGGTTTCACCAATGTACGTATTATTGCAGATGTTATAAGTAAGTTGTTAAACGATATTGATAACAAGACACCCATCTTTAGATTGTAAACACGTTTTTATAAGACACTTGGCTTTATCACACTGAAGGGTAGTTTAATGAGATTTTGAAATTTGACTTCTGAGTGTTCGACCTGGCTGTTCTATAACTTTAATAAAGCATTCAGATTTCTTTATCTGTGGTTTTTATTTTCTTGAAATAGTTTAATGAATTAGAAATATTGTAAAAGTAATTTATTTTATTTTTGGAAAATTGGCCTTTTCCCTTTCTCTGTGTTTTCATGTTGGAAGTATCGTGTTAATTTTTTTTTCGTCATAGTTCTTGAAAATTTGTTCGATGTGAAAAGATGAGTATTCGTTGTTCAAAAGGAGCAATTTTAGTTCAGGGCGTGTAGTATTCTTATCATTTCAGTTTTAATCGGTTTATGAAACAAGGTAGATTGTTTATTATTGCCATTATCAATTATCAAGATAATATCAAGAAAATCTACACTACTGTTGTCATCCAAATAATTATGGATGAATTGGATGTTGGTATCTGTGGAATTGAGAAAGTCTAGAAATTTGTTTAAAGAATTGTGTCCATGACTCCACAGTCCAAACACACCGTAAATGTATCTAAGACAGAGATTGGGGCCTGTGTTGGTATCTTGGTGCAACTTATTTCAAAAAATGTGTATATATAATTATGCGTCAAAACAAAAATATTTATTATGAAGGATAAAATGTAAGATGTGTCTGGCAGTGCCCATCGACAGTTCGTACGTTTCCAATTTGCTCTTGTGATTCGATATGAATTCACATTCTGTATTAATGCTCTTTTCTGTCCGAATAGAAGGGTGGGAAGCTACAACATCTAATAAAAACTAAAACTCACTCAGTCTCTAGCAAAAAAATATTATGCTATGTTCACTGACAATCGAACTTTACGGCAAGGAAAAAGTATACAAAAGATGAAAGGAAGTTTATTACTTTAATGTATTGTTGTAGTTCATTAACATTTACAAAAATTCTAAAGCATGTAAAGTACTAACATACTCAAGAATTTATTACCTTTGCAATATCTAACCAAACTACGGTATAATACTGTATAATAATAAGATACTGAACGTATCCATACCTTGGAAAATGCGATTTTATACTTCAGGAGAAACCAGTTCGCACAACAATAGACATTACACGAAAGCCTGGTTTCTTTAGTTATTTGGTTGTGTATTACATTCGCTTTAAATCACTCCTTCTGTGAACTAGCCCCCCCAGTGGAACAGCGATATTTCTGCGGACTTACAACGCTAAAAACCGGGTTTCGATACCCGTGGTGGGCAGAGAACAGATAGCCCATTGTGTAGCTTTGTGCTTAATTCCAAACAAACTAAACTAAATTATTGATTATCTTATAACAAACTGTTTTTGTAGTATTAATCTTGATGAAGCAGCAATGGTGAAACGTTAGCTGAAATAAAAAGTTATTATTATTTGGAGACCTATGGTTTGGTTGTTGTTAAGCGAAAAGCTAGCTATACTCTACCCATTACGTGGATTAAAAACCGATTCTTAGTGTCGTAAGCCTGCAGACTTACCGCTGAGCCACCGTGGGGTTATTTGGAAAGTAAAGGTCCTTTTTGTTTTCTAGCTTTATTATTGTTCAACTGTCTCAGAACTTAACTATTGCCTTTTACTATTGTAATAATACGTCTCGTAGTCGTTGAAATTAGCATAATGAAGCATTTACACAATGCTTTAAAATATGAGAAAACGTCATTAAACTGAAAATAATACATTTTGCTTTAAATGTTTGTTTGTTTTTGAATTTCGCGCAAAGCTACACGAGGGCTATCTGTGCTAGCCGTCCCTAATTTAGCAGTGTAAGACTAGAGGGAGAGCAGCTAGTCATCACCACCCACCGCCAACTCTTGGGCTACTCTTTTACCAACGAATAGTGGGATTGACCGTCACATTATAACGCCCCCACGGCTGAAAGGGCGAGCATGTTTGGTGTGAGAGGGATTCGAACCCCCGACCCTCAGATTGCGAGTCGAGTGCCTTAACCACCTGGCCATGCCGGGCCTGCTTTAAATGACAAATGATAAAAGGAATAATGTGAAAATATTAAAATAGATTAAAGAATATCTTAATTACTTTACTTAAGGTTACTTCTAAAATTTCCGATGATAATAGTTATAAGGTAGCAGATTGTATAGTTATTTTGGAAGTTTTTTGTAGCAAGTTTAAAGTAATACGATGTCTTTCGGTAATTATATGCTATAAATGTGGCTGATAACTGTTACCGTTTGATGTTGTTTTTGTAGGTATATATGAGGTTTAAAACGCTAAAAATCAGGTTTTGATACCCACGGTGGGCAGAGTATGCACAACATACTGTGTAAATTTGAATTTAAGAACAAACAAAAATATAACAATTATTTATAAATGAATAAGTCCTGATCAAATCAAGCTTACTACATAGATCAGAAACGAAATATAAGTTAAGAAGTAATGTATCTACTTATACAACAGACTAACTAGGAGTACGTAATTTAATAAAACAATTCCCGAGAAACTAAAAATTTATAATGATTAGAATGCGCTGATTCATCAGTTTGTATCTTTATCCTTATCGGTATTTTTGGTAGTTATCTGTTAATATAGAACAAAATCCAATGAAACGTATTGAATTCAGAAATGAGGATTTTTATTTCAAAATGATTAAAGGTCTGTGAAATTATTTTGGAAGATATTTTTAAAATGTCGTGAAGAAATAAAAAAATAAGTGAAGAAATGTGAGGAGAAATTTAGAGTTAAAGAGTTTAGAAAAACGGAATTAAGAACAGAGCAAACGAAAACACACACACACACACACAAAAACAATAGAGAATCTGACCTGAAATTTAAATTGGCATTCGAATAATGTGATCATAGTTTAGAGAACTAGCATGTATTAAAGCATATTCCAATCTAAACATGTACATGGATATAAAAGATGCTATGGATGATAAGGTCTCCCATTTCTCTATGGTACTTTTCAGAATAATGATAAAATAGCCATTTAGAGAGTGCTAAACAAGTTTGATAACGTACATAATTCTGTTGAAACCATTGATTGAAGGCTTACAGTTGTTTAAAAAACTGTCATAAACAAGGACCAACAGAGGATGAGTCTGTCAATTAAATATGTAAAGAGACATGGATGTTAACATTACCATAATTACCATTACAAGTCAAGAAAAAAAAAAGACGCTAATACACAAAAGGTACCAATATTAATGTAATTACGTCGGGAGTCACGGACTTATTATGTTCCTTTCATCTTCTAGATTTCTTAAAAAAATGATCAGATTGTTGTGGAAAATAATGTGAGTTTCTTTTGATGCTCAATTACTTTCTAAGTGAATGGGTGTGCTGATAACAGCGAGCAGTGCAAATGCTTACAAAACTAAGAGGTACATCTCTAACAAATCTAATCAATTTACACCAGTAAAACACACACAAAAATGACCAGTTATTAGTGTCTGATCTTTCCAGTAAGAACGATTCATTAGTAATAGGTGTCACGAGCCACATTCACAAGTGCAATGCAATGGAAAGTAGAAACATCATAAAGTTTGCTGATGATCTCGAATGTCAAGTTGCTTTACTTAAAAGTATCCCCAGAGGCTAATACATTTTCACCATCAGCATCACTCAACGTGAAAACATAAACATGGACTGGAGCAAAGAGAAAACTATTTTGAGAAAATTTGTTCAACTTGCTAACATACAGTTCAAACAACCTGCACAAAAATAACGCAAACCTCAGGACATCTGAATCTAACACAGCATCTGACATGGAGGGAAGTCTAGGTTCTCTGGAATGATTAATCTAGCAGACACCATCACCGTGTGGTATCACTGGGGAGAGTCACTACTATTACCGAAGCTGTGTGGAAGCATAGGCCATTATGCCAGTGACTGCAAGCAGAAGCATTCCACTGGAATGTGTCAACTATGTCAAGGACGGGTCAATGTCCTGTCATCACTGTGGTCATCGAGAAATTTATAATTATGTAGGCCTGTGGCCTCAAAAGAGGATTTAAAATATTTTGTTCCGGGAAAGTTGGATTGGAATGAATGGAACTAAAGCCGTTCACAAGAAGGAATTTGCTTGTCAGAGAGAGTTGACACAAAACAACGAAGCCAAACATAGAAAGCCATGCTACCAACAGCTGAAGGAAACTGGATCATACAGCTATTATCATTCAATTAGATATTGTTCCCAAAGGTGTGACACTGCCAATCCAGAAATACTTAAAGAATGAATTAATGCTAAAAATATGTCTTAATGATGAAATACTCTCTGTAGAAATTATGTACAGGTGATAGGTACACAACAATGTTGCATTTTGAAGAACTTTGTTTATTTTAAAATTGTTCTCCACTTATGCATGACGTGTGATGACGAATATATGTAGTTTGTCAGTCATCATAGCTGTATATGAGTTTATTGTAACTATCAAATAAACAGTAGGTGTCCCAGTGTGAAGCAAGTAATTAATGCCTCGATATATATATATCAATTCAAGTTATTTGATGAGATATTGTAGAACGATTAGTTTTGTATTCTTTCCCCAAGTATTGTTATTTGAAATAACATTAATAGACATGAGTGTGACGTTGCTTTTAGAGTTACAAATTTGTCAAAACATCCAGTCAAGATCATAAATTACTGTAATCTTACAAACGAGAAAGTTTGTTACGCTGTTGCAATGAAAAGCACAAATCGGAGAAGTATGGACATAACTCTAGAAGAAAAGTGTCTGATTTTAATCCAAAGGAGTTGTGAAATATTAGACAAAAATAAAAGTATTTAGGTAATATTAAAATCATTTCTATAGATCCAGTGATTTAAGAAATGTAAATTGAAGAGTTGTTTCTATTAAGTCCTACACACTCATCTTTTAAAAAAGCAGAAAGAAGCATTAAGAAATTATACTTATGGGATGATAAAACTAAGAACAGCTTAGAAAACACATGTTTTACTAATAATAACGAGTAATGAAATGATCCAGTTGTCCTTGTACTTCTTGGAAAATACGAGAATGTCATAAGGAAGAATTAGTTGTAAGAACTCACGAGTGAAAGCTAAGGAGAATATATTATAATATGTTCACCACACTAAGTCTGCTATAGAAAGTGTCGACGAGCTCCTTCACCAATACCAGGGCTCATCAGGTCAGATAGGATACAATAAGATATAGTAGTGGTCTAAGCACTGTATATATATATATATATCAGCCGTCCCTAATTTTGAAGTGATAGACTAGAGGTAGCTAGTCAATAACACTCACCGCCAATTCTTGATCTACTTTTTTACTAACGAATAGTGGAATTGACCGTCACACTTTAACGCCCTGTGGCTGAAAGAGCGATCATGTTCGGTAATAGGAGTCGAACCCGCGTCCCGTAGATTGCGAGTCGAGTGACCTAATCACCAGGTCGTACCAGGCGCACTAAAACAGAACAAACAAACCAGTTACAGAAAACGTTAATTTTATCTCAAAATAATTGTAATTCCAAACAAGCCTACGTTTAATTTACTGTGGCTGTTTAACGTGTTTTATACAGAATCAAGTAAGACAATCTTCCAAATCGTACTAGTTGCTTTGGGCACTAAGCCTAAACAAAAAACAAAACAAAAAACATCTGAATGTCTTTTTATATTTTTTAAAATGTGCAATATATTTCCAGAATAACGTATATATATTTAACTATTTATTTCTTTCGTTTGATAATGTGTTGCACAGTTGAACTCTAGAAAATAAGAACTAGAATTATATTGAAATAAGTTTATCATTCATCATAGAAGAAAACTAATTTTTTTAATGGAGAAACTCAAATGACGTCTAACAAATCAAATAAAATGGAAGTGTCACAGAAGGTACAGTTGGATTTTCATCCTACTATATTTGTTTGTTTGTTTTAAAGCACAGCCACATTACGCTATCTGCTGTGTCCACCGCAGGGAATCGAACCCCCGATCTAAGTGGTAAAATAATCAAGCAGTATTTCATCATGGACTTAAACTAAATTGGCCGTGTATTGTGATAATACAAACAACGTGGTTGACGGGTTCTGTTACTTAGCTATTTATCTGACTGTTTATTCTTAAGTTCTTAGTTCTATTCCAATAGTTGTAAATGAAGGTTAGTTGTACATAATAAGTCTACAATGTATAATTAATATATAATTGTAATTAAATATAACTTTATTGACAAATATGGGAGCACAGTTGGCATTTAGAAATTAAAAATGAAGAAAATATGAGCTTGAGTTAAATAATATTTTGAGTTAAACAATGAAACATAAAACTGTTAATTTCAACTAAGAACGTTGATAATTAAAAAGCAACTGATACTCGAGGTTTTAAGATTGTTTTCATTTCATGCTAACAATATTTTATTATGTTATTATCTACAAACTAAAGACTTTAAAAGAAACTAAATATATCAACTAGTTATGATTATTTCATCTTATCAAATCAGAAATTTGCATATTTTGGTCAATAGAGAGATTTAAGTGGTGGTGGGAATATAATCCACAAATATGAGATTTATTTCACAAAGTTGCTCTCAATTAGATTTTACAGCCTTGTGTCAGATAAAGAAGTCCCCCGTGATACAGCGGTAAGTCTTAGGACTTACAATGCTCAAATCAGGGATTCGATCACCTCGGTGGACACAGCAGATAGCCCGATGTGGCTTTGCTATAAGAAAACAAACAAACAAACAGATAAAGAAGTTACTAATGTAGTTCATAATTATAAAATAATAAACCTCACAGCGGTATGTCTGTAGACTTACAACGCTAGAAACCAGGTTTCGATACCCGTGGTGGGCAATGCACAGATAGCCCATTGTGTAGCTTTGTGCTTAACTTCAAACAAACTCTAAAATCAAATGATAAAATGCGTTAAACAAAGTGAAATAACTCAGGTATGGTTACTAGTCTGTAAACAAACCAGCAACGTATACTTCAGTGCTTTTAACGATTTCTTTTTTTTCTAATTTTAGATTATAAATTATATTAGTATAAAGTCAGTTGTTTATGAATAGAGTCTAGCTGTTCATTAACCCTAATACCAAACTATCGTTCATACTTAAGCAGACTTTTGCTGTTCACATAAAGTCTGTGGTTGTGAATAAGTTAATGTTAATACGATAATGGGCATCGGTTTAGGTAACGAACGTATAATCGCAAACAACTACTAGAGAAAAGCATTTTGAGATATTGCAAGCTCACTGAATATCTTTATAACTAAATTTGTTTTTACTATTTTATTTTTTAAGATCTAGCCTATATATAGAATTGTCGCAATAAAAAACAAACAAACCACTTTGTAAGCTGAAAAAATCTTAGGGCTATAAACTCTCTGTATTTTATTTTCATTTGGATGGAAATATTAAAAGCGATTTCGGTGATTGCTGAATTACAATGACGATGGCGGCGTGTGGTGGGGAACTGGGAGGAGCCCCTTTCAAACGGACGTTTTTGAATAATAGCATTTACTTTAAATGTGTGACTTATAGAAATCACAAAGCTACACATTAGGCTATCTGTGCTCTTTCCATCGCGGGCATCAAAACCAGATTTTTAGCGTTATAAGCTCGTAGTGGCTCAGTGGTAAGTCTGAGAGCTTATACTGTATTTACCGCTTCCTAGTGGCTCAGTGGTAAGTCTGGAAAGCGGTAAATACAGTTATTATAGATATTAGAATAGCATCATTAGACTTAAGAAGCTTGAAGTAATTTGGGATTTATTTTTTGGTTTTTTACATTTAGGGAAAGTTCTAAACATATCTCGGTTGCAGTGTTTTTGGCAGTATACATTTCCTGCTTCAAAATTTATAATATAAAAAGTTTAGTGTGATTTTGCATTATATAACTATGCATTTATATAACTCGTTTATTATGAAAGTAAATAGTCAAATAACCTTTTCACACACTTCTTTATGCCGATCAGTTAACATTTAAGTCAAACTTAATAGACCAAAATTGGTTTCATAAATATAATTTTATTCCCCATATCTCACTATCTTTCGTTATCCTACTAATTCTTCTTCAACAATTTTTTATTATTTATGATGCTTCTCAAGCCTTATAATATTCTGTTAAAATGCATGGAAACACTGACCCCCAGTGTGGACGAAGACCCTGCATGCAAGCAGTTTTTGGTTTGTTTATTTGATTTGAAAAGATTAAACATTCCAGCAACAGAAAAGGAGCCAATAACCTAAATATTTTACCCGGAATTTACTGTCAACTCAATGTGTTGAAAAGTAAGTGAACATACAGATAAATCAAAAGAAAACATGACCTTTACAAAGTCCGACGATCCAAGGAAGCCCAATTAGCCTATCATAATAATGTCAGAACATAATACCATATGGAAGATTAAATAATTTCAATTTTATTAAGTTGTCAGATGATAAATATAGATAGTAGATGCATCACAATTTCATATCACCCTTATGGTAAAAAATATCTTAAAATATAACAGTATGTCGTAATGGATATAATAGCAAAACATCTGAATAGCCCATCATTATTTACCAGCTCTTCAATATGTGTGCATTATCCATGTACTTTGATTTAGAAATTAGTTACGTGTTAGAACAATTGCACCTGAAAATCTTCGTTAAATGAGAAATAATTAACAGATAAAGACAAAAATAAGGAATGATATGTCTCGAAAGTACATTGATTATTTTTATGACTCGGTATTTTTAACACTAAGACCTCAAGGTTCAGACATAGCCATCTCTAATTCTGAGTTGCTGACCAGAAGGAAGGCAATCAGTCAGTAGTAACTGCCGCTTACTCGGTCACTCTTAACCGATTAGCGGGATTGACAGCCACGTTTATAGCGCATCCACAGCTAGAAATGCGGAGCGTGTTCTATGGTAACCATTAGGTCACGTCGGGCCTTTTTTTTATGGTTACCTAAGGAGATATTGATAAAGAAATACGTGAAGGTGCTAGATTTTTATGATTGTAATAAATATTTTAGCACGTAAACATTAATATGTAAAATAAAAACGTTGCTCTGGAATTTTTGAAGATTTTATTATTAATGATTGAAGAGTTAAATAAACAAATATAAAGGTAAGTAGAAATATATAGAGAAGATATATATTCAGTATAGACCGATATATATACACACTCACACACACACACACACAGACCTATTCCTTCAGAACATCAAAGTTGATCCAATAGAATGCTACATAATAAAATTCACACTGATGTAGGCTTGTTGTTGTTAAGTTTCTTACAAAACTATTTTAAACAGGGAACAAGATAAAGATGAATTGTAACTTTGGTATTCAAACTTTCAAATAACATCGCAGATGTGTTTGAAACATATAATACTTACACCGAATACAACTCTTTAAAATGTAAATAAATATCCACAACTAGCCACAAAGTAATTATTTTCCTGACATATGGTTATAGAGCTTTTTACTTAAAACAGTATTGTAAAATATTCTCTTTATTATAATATTTAACAGCAAGAATTTTTTTTTAGAAATTTGCATATGTGTTCTAAATATTTCATCTTAAATTCAGTATTATTTTGTAATGTTTCAGTACTAGATATGTCATTATTATTATTTTATTCTTCTTCATATACAGTATGCAGTTTCAACAAAATTATAATTAAATGAGAAATTTCAAATTTATATGAACACGGATGTAATTGGTGTTAGATACTTGATATATTTCTGGCAGTTTTTCATATGAAACGTAGTAACAGTTAAGGAGAAAAAAAAAAGACATTAGGTCATTATAAAACATGGGGGCATCTCAGTATCATAACAAAACATTGGGTCAGTCCAGGACATTACACCAACAGTTTATTTTATGGTCATTTACATCTAAATCTAGTAGTGTTGAAAACATAAATCAGGAAATACGAGACGTTTGTTTTTCGTGTAACAGCTTAAGGCGTTATCTGCTCTTATTATTTATTTGCATCATGTGACTATTTGATAACTTTTACATCTGATTATACTTCAAGGACACTTGAAGTGAATGTCGCGAATTTAAACGTTAGGATCTATTTATTTTGTTGGCATAAAAAACAGAGAAAGTGTTCGAATGAGAATGTGAAACTTCAGTTACCACCCCAGAGTAGGTTTCTAGCTCACTGTAAAGTTTTTATGAGAAATTTCAAACTACATTCGAGTATTATTTGTCTTATTCGCTCAAGTTCATGGAAATAAATATAATAGTTTCTTTGTATCTGTTGTAGAATTTTGATCTAAAATCGTTCAAAAGTAAGGTTGTATCTATTCGGTTTGGTATGTAAA